CAGGAGTTCCCCAACCTGGATCTGGCAACCTTAACACCACCACCCCAACCCTCCATCAGTAGCTTGGAGGGAACTGGCAACTCTAGCTCCTTATCCCATGTCGGCCTTCCCACTGACTGTATCACCTTTCCCTGAATGGTGTTGGGTGGCTTGTGCAGATGGAAACACCGCTGCTGTGCCCACCAGGAGTGCCACCGTTGTACACCCGGCTGCACCTCGTTCCCAGGCAGCATGTGGTTGAGGCGCGGGGGGTGGGGGGTCTCTGCAGCAGTGGGATGTTGCCAGGAACTCTGGGTCCGAGCAGCCACCTCCCCACGGGGTATGCTGATGCTGACCCTACTTCCCCCCCTTCCCATATTTCTACCTGAGCTACTTAGCCAAACATGTTCCCTGGCTGGAAGAAGAAAGGGAGGGGGGGGGAACTCAGGCAGAGACAAAAGGGGCAGCTTCTTTCGAGAGCGGGAAATGCTGCTGCTGCATCCCGAGTGAGTGAACGATCCCTTCCCTGGTGATGAAGCGATCTGGCAGTTTTACATACCCCCTGCAGTGCGTAATATAGAGACCTTTCTATGGCTGGGCCCTTGGAGCTCACAGAAGCCTTTGATTACTTGGTTCGTTTACGGCTCCAGCAATTCTCTCACAGCACTTTAGTGTACCCTGGAACACAGTTGGGGGAATTGACTGAAATTAACAAGGCATGCTTGCTCAGTGCCTGCTCAGACAAAGCTCACTGCAGGTCCCCGTGCGTGCCAGAATTCTGCGGGAACGCAGAAAAACAACAACACACCAAGTAGCCTTGGCCACACAGTTAAACTTCTGAAGAATTTCAGCTTGCATTTCATTAAAACACAAAAGTTTGTAGCTGTTACGTTGGTTGTGTGTGGATGAAATCTCTGAAGCTTGGTCGGGGGCAGTGCTCCCTCTAAGCTGTGGAGTCTTGTGAGCAAAAATTCTACTTTGTGAGCTCCTGGCATTAAAGTTGTGAGCGAGCAATTTGGCTCCTGCATAAATTAGTTTGCTCTGGAGCCATCCTTCCTGAGCTAAGACAAAAATCTGTGAGCTGGAGGCTTAAAAACTGTGAGTTAGCTCACACTAACTCAGCTTAGAGGGAACAGTGGTTGGGTGTGCATGGTTTCAAGGACCTGTGCTGGTCCTGTCCTCTCCTTACAGCTAGAAGGAAAGAAATCATGAAAACCGTCTTCTGAATAATTTTAAATAGGTTGTGCAATAGCTTTCCAAGATACAGACTTCCTTTTTCTTTAGAATACTCAGCTGCCCCCGCTCTGGGTTTAAATGACAGTGCCTCAGTTCAGATACCGCATAGTTCAAGGTGTGTTCTCTGTGTCTTGATGTGGTATCTAAGGCTGAGCCCATTGCTGGTCCAACACTCTGTCACACAGTGGCCAAAAATACCAGGTGCCATCAGGAGGTCCACCAGGAGGTCAACCTTGGGGCCTCATTGGAGAGAAAGGTGGGGTGTGAATGAAATAAATAAGTAGGTCACCATAAGTCTGCTATGGCTTGATGGCGAAAAAAGAAAATCCAACAGCCCAGGATGGAAGTGAAATTAATTTGCTCTAAAAAAATCTCTGCAGTGTTTTGATGCAGGTTATTCAACGGGGAGTCTGAATATTTGCTGAATATATGATATGTATTGTGTTTGAAATCCAGTCATATTCTGTCTCCATAGTTGATATTTGACTCAGCTCTTTAATTCCAGCATTTGCCATTTGGCATTGGCTATACAATGGCGTTTTATGGCTGACAAGTAATGGGATTTTGCATCTGAGAGCAGTTTACATTGACATGCGATGGTATTTAGTTTTTTTTTTTACAGTTCTTGATGTCACGCAATGGTATTTACTGTTTTGGAAGCCGTCAGGCTATGACGCTTAGCAGTTTGCAGCTGATGTTCAGTGACATTTCGTATTTGGCAACTGGCAGAATCAAGACAATTAAGAGATATCCATAAGTCTGAAGTATTCTTATAATTTAATTTTGGGGGGGGAGGTAAGGTGAGGAAATTTCACATTCAGGTTTGAACTTCATATTTAAAAGATGAATGGTGAAATTTTAAAAAATGCCACGCATCGAACACATGCAAAAAATTAGCTTGGCTTCATTGGCACATTTCCACGGATGGATTTCTGCCGACACAGAGCGTGACTTTCTTGCCTTTCTGTTCCCGATGCAGCCCGGGGTGGAGACCAAAAAATTATGCTCTGGGGGCGAAAACCCTTCCGTCAAAATAAACACTCAGGTGGATCCGAGCCATTTATTTCTGTTCCAATGACCTCCTCCTCACTGGATCTAACTCTGATCTCCCTCTCTCCTTCCCTTGCAGCTCACTAGTTCCCTCCTACCGACACAAACAGAGAAAAATGTCCTCCGAAAAGGTTGCCAGTCCCACCGAGGAACAGCGAGAGATCCTGGAGTTCAATTTCAACCGGGTCAACAAGCACCCCGACCCCACCACTCTTTGCCTTATCGCTGCTGAGGCCGGGCTGTCTGAGGAAGAGACCCTGGTGAGTGACACACGGCCTGCAGTCCACCCCCAGGAGCGGGGCTAAGGTTGTCCGCCTCCGGGTAGGATACAGAAATGTACATAAGGCATGATAAAAGAACTATGCTGCCTCCAGTGTTCCCTCTAAGCTGAGTCAGTGTGAGCTAGCTCATAGTTTTTTAGCCTCTGGCTCACAGATTTTTGTCTCCGCTCAGGAAGGAGGGCTCCAGAGCAAACTAATTGATGCAGCAGCCAAATCGCTTGCTCACCGTTTTAATGCCAGTAGCTCACAAAGCAGAATTTTTGGTTACAGGACTCCACAGCTTAGAGGGAACATTGGCTGCCTCACACAAAATATCATCAAAGTATGTAATGTAGGGAATAGTGAAACAGTGAAAATATGAATACAAAACATTTAAGGTGAAACAAGGAGAGAGACTTTAACATTTTACTATTGAAGTGTTATACGAAGCTTCTGGCATTTTAAATCTGATTTGGAACGAGGACTGGTCTTATATTGGCTGTACCTTTGACTTTGTAAATGGCTTAGTTCCGTCATTGATGGTTGTTTATTGTTGCTTTACCTTAAATATTTTGTATTTGTATTTTCACTGTTTTGCTATTATTTAAATTATACACACTTTGGTTATATTCTGTGTGAAGCAGCGTAGTTATTTTATCACGGCTTATGTACATTTCTGTATTGAGCTTTTTCTGTGACGCTCTGTTGGTTGCACAACCTCCAGGTGGGGGCTGGAGTTAGGGTTGCCAGTACCTGGAGGTTTTGGGGGTGGAGCCTGAGGAGGGCGGGGTTTGGGGAGGGACTTCAATGGGATATAAAGCCACAGAATCCACCTTCCAAAGCATCCCATTTCCTCCAGATGAACTGATCTCTGTCTCCTGGAGATCTCCAGGAGCCACCTGGAAGTTAGCAACCCAGGATTACAGCTGATCTCCAGACCACAGAGCTCAGTTGGAGGGTGGACTCTACGGCATCACATCCCTGCTGGGCTCCTCCCCCTCCCTAAACGCTTCCCTTTCTAGGCTCTGCCCCCCAATCTCCAGGAATTTCCCAACCCAGAGTTGGCAACCATATGCTGCTCAAACCTTTGTGGCAGATGGGTGGAATAAGCAGTGTAAAAATAAACGCCCTGCAAAACAGAGAAAAACAAATGGAACTGTTTCCCTAATGAGACGGGAAAAAGAGAGCAAAAGGGAATGTTCTCTGAGTTTCTTCTTCAGACTGCAGAGGAAAAACAACCGTGATGATCAAAGCTGTTTTCAGCCTTTGTTGGATGCTGTGCTATTGTCATGTTACGGCAGTCATTCGCCTATGGATTGGGTTGCCCACACAGCAAAATCCAGCTTGGGCATAAGGCAACAGTAGTGCAGTGGCCAACACTGTGTGAATGCAGCCCAGAAGAAAATGGTGACAGAGTCCTTTTTTGTCTTCTTTCCAGCAATAGGTTTTTCCAGATTTTCTTTTTCTACATTTGTAGGTATGACACCCATTGGCTGAAGGGAAGTTGGGAATAAATAAGGCAGTAACATATCTACAGACATTTGTAGGTATGACACCCATTGGCTGAAAGGAAGCTGGGAATAAATAAGGCAGTAACATATCCACAGACCACTCTCTCTCTCTCATATAAACTAACAGTTACTATTTGACAGAATTTATGAAGTCAAGTAGAATTCGAATGCTTGTGCTCCATTCTTTGTCATTCTTCACCTTTTCCACACCCTCAACTTATTCATGATTTTCTTGGGAGTTGATACACAAGCGCTGGAATCAGTTTGGGCACGGTTGTCCTGCAGTGTCCACCCCCGGTACACTTTTACAGTTTTGGAGTGACTTTATTTTCTTCTACACATGGCTTGAATAATGAGGATTTTCAAGGGAGAGTGCCATCCTCATTGGTGTCGTTATTGGTGGTGGCAGAGCACCCCCTTATTTTTTTAAAAAAATGGCTCTAAAGTAGTGATATAACGCTGTAGTTTTGCAACGACAGTTTAAGCAGGTTCTCTGAATTCCAGCTTTCATTTTAGAAAAAAAGTAAGTCTCTGTATCCCTCCCTCATAGAGGTATAAGGAAGAAGGCATATCTCTGTGCGGGATGGGGCCACAGATTTACTTTTAAAAATGAAAGCTGGGAATTTAGAGAACCTGCTTAAACTATCATTGCAACACTACAGTGTTTTATCACAATTTTATGGCCTTTAAAAAAATTGAAATCACTCATGGGGGGGGGAATGGTTTAACAATGATGAGAGTCCAATCAGTGACAAGTGGGCTGGAGGTGGGTGGGACAAAGAAAACCGATAGCAACATCACACACTAGGAGAAAGTCGTCTCAGAATCAACTTCCAGGAAAACACTGGCGTAAAAGTGGTCTCAAAAGAGCTGGGGGGGAAAGGGGGAAACAAAAAACCCCCCCTGAAGTGAAAATTAAAGGCACAAAAATGTTTGTGGAAATCAGAGAATAAACCGAAGAAATATGGGACCAGAACCACCAAAAAACACATGCAGAAAAGTCCCATGTTACTCTTTATTTGCTACATTCCTCTTCCCCACAACTCTTCCTCCAGGGAACTTGGGGTGGCAGGTGTTGTTCTCCACCCTCCTCCAAAAGGCCGCTTTGGCTTATGAAATACCAGAAAGTTACCTTCATGGATGTGCTCAGTGCATTATTATCCACTGACTCATTCCCTAACCTGCCCTGTCCTTACCTTTCCTTCACTGTGGGCAGGAGGGAATGTTTTGCTTACTGCCACAAGCTTCCAGTTGCTGAACAAGCAGTTGTGGCATGTGATGGCCCATTTTCCAGGACAAGGGGTGTGGAGCCAGAGCGGGCTGTGACAGCTGTCAGGACCCAGGAGGACTGGGATTATACAGAGCGACATAAATCAACCGTTAGGGATTTGGGAAGGAAGGGAATGAGGCGGACTGAAGGAAGCCTGACAGACCTGAGATTTGTTATCTCCCCAGACTTAAGAGGAGTGGTAAGGCTGTCGAGGCGGTTGTAAATCCAGCCCCCCCTGCCTGAGGCCTTGGCTGGCTTGCCAGTCTTGCAAGGTGAACCAGGGTCCAATTTGTAGTGCGTCTGCGTGGGCAGCTGTGTACAAGAGTGCTCACATGAATGAATGGGAGAGAGGAGCAGCTCTTCTCAGTCTACTTCAGGGATTCCTGACAAGAGGGAAAGGAGAGTCGGCGTGGCTCAGGGGTTAGAGTGTCAGACTAAGGGCCAGGGCTATTTTTGGGCAGGAACGCACAGGAACGGAGTTCCAGCTGGCTCCTGAGTTGGCCACGCCCAGCAGGAACTCGTTAGCATAATAGGCCACACCCAAGAGCAGAAACTCATTAGGATTGGCTACATTAGGGAGGTGTGGCCTAACATGCAAAGGAGTTCCTGCTACAACAAAAGCTCTGGGTTTTGACAACAAAAGAGGTAAACAGAATAAGAAGCAAAAGGTGGGTGTGGCTGGATGACCACACTTCTGGTAACATAGGGGTGTGGCCTAATATGCTAATGAGTTTCTGCTCTTGGGTGTGGCCTATTATGCTAATGAGTTCCTGCTGGACTTTTTCTACAAAGAAAGCCCTGCTAAGGCCCAAACTGGATGCGATGGCAACCCCTCCAAGGTCACCACAAGGATGTCATCACAGGCTGAAGGGTCCTGCCTCCGCCATGTTTTCTCAACTGCCAAAACAGCCATAACCCTGGTGGCCGTTTTGGCATTTGAAAAGGTATTGCGGGGGGGGGAGGACAAAAGAACTGTGTTTTGCAGCATTTTGAAGTCACTTTAAGATGGCGACAGAGTTCTTGTGGTGGCCACGAGGATGCGGTCACATTTAGCTTGCCTCTAAGACCTGGGAGACCCACGTTCAGATGTGGTGTATTGGTTAAGAAAGGCTAGAATCTGGGAAACCCAGGTTCGAATCCCTACTCATGCGATGGACGATAGCTGGGTGACCTTGGGCCAGTCACACTCTCTCAGCCTAATCAATCTCAGAGGGTTGCTGTGAGGATAACGTTGAAGAGAGGATAACCACGTCAGCCGCTTTGGGTCTCCAATGGTGAGCAAGGCGGGGCATAAATGAAAGGAAATCCCCATTCTGCCATGGACGTTCGCCAGGTGTCTTTGGGCCTGTCACACCCTCTCAGCCTAACCTTCCTTATGGGGTCATTTCTGTGCAGATAAAGTGGAGGCGGGGGAAAAGAAGAAGAAGAAGAGATTGGATTTATACCCTGCCCTTCACTACCCAAAGGAGTCTCAGAGCGGCTTACAAACTCCTTTCCCTTCCCCTCCCCACCACAGACACCCTGTGAGGTGGGTGGGGCTGAGAGAACTCTTGACAAAAATGGCTCTTTTTCAAGGACAGCTGTGCCAGAGCTTGTGACTTGACCCAAGGTCACATCAGCAGGTGCAAGTGGAGGAGTGGGGAATCAAACCCGGTTCTCCCAGATTAGAGTCCGCACACTTCACCACTACACTATGCAGTGCATAAATAATAAATAAGGAAATGGCCACTGCAGTGAGATCAGAGTTGCATAGTAGCTCTCAGTTGATACGAAGGAGAGGAAGCGCGTGTGGACTGTGTGTGGTTGGATGATTTCTTTTATTATGCCCCCACGTCCTGAGGTGTCACACCAGCTCAGTAGCCCTATATTTATCCCACCGTCTCTTTTTGCCCCCCAGAAATGGTTTAAGAAGCGCCTGGCGGAATGGAGGCGGTCAGAAGGGCTCCCTTCGGAGTGTGGGTCTGTCAGGGACTGACTAGAATTATCCCACGGAAGCCAACCCTGGGAGAACGGATGGCTGTCTGAATTCAGTGACGACTTCCGCTGTGAGAAGAGTGGCTATCAAAGCTAACGTGTTCTGTTATTTAACCTGCTGCCTTATTTAAAATGTACATAACCTAATTCTTTTTCTTTGGGGGGGGGGAAGGGGGAAATCATAATATAAAACGTTATGTATTGGCCACGGATGTGCAGGATTTAGAAAGGAGACACCACCGACCTCATTGGCTGCTGTGTCCCTTTTTAGAACGGCATGGAGTGGTTGTGATTAATAGTTGCTTCAACTGCTGGCAAGACTCCTAGGAGGCTGAAAGAAAATATCTTTATCTGCCATCCCGGATGGCTACGAGAGCTCGCCAGAGCAACATCCAGAAGACCAGCCTAATTCATAAGCTTGGTTCAAAGTTCTCTGCCAGCTGTTTGTGTGCTGGGAGGCGTTAGCATACACAAGAAGGCTGGATGTCCATGTTCAATTCCTAGGGTCTGTGGCTGTTCAAAATCCACACTATGCTAATTTGGGTCGCCAGCCCTGGGGTTGGGAAGTTCCTGCAGATTTGGGGGCAGAGCCTACAGAGGGTGGGGTTTGCGGAGGGGAGGGGAGGGCCCCCCAGTAGGGTATAATGCAGCCCTTTTCTCATGGGGAACTGATTTCTGGAGTCTAGAGATCAGTTGTAATTTTGGGAGATCTCCAGGCCATACCTGGAGGTTGGCAACTCCACTGCTAATGCACGGGAGGACGGAGGCACTCTGAGCCCTGTCCCCAAAGAGAGTATTGAGTTGTATGCGCTCCAGCCACTGCCAGCTTGTTTCTTGCAGCTGGACCATACTAAGAATTTCACCACAACGTATCTGCAGCGATAGGAGGGTCCCTATCTCTGTGGGGGGGGATGAAGCTATCTCGGTGCTTTTCCCAGGCTCGAGTGAGGAGAAAAGAGCTGACTAGAGCCGCACATTGAGACCTCTTAGATCCTATGAGGGAGGGATCCAAAGTGTATTCCTCCCTCCCACCCAGCTTCCTGCTCTTAGTCCAGCAGGCTCAGTCTCTTAACGTTGCCGTACCTTTCCCACCTGGGTTGGCTTGGCACAAACGGTCCAGCATGCAAGTGTGCACCTGTGCTATTAGTCCCGCGTGTACGGGATGGGTTGTGCCCTTGGCGGATTGGCCTTCAGCACAGCTGAATGAGGATCTGGGAACGCATACGCCACGGACACCTTTCCAAATTTTCGCCAAACAAAAAGATTATTTCCTCCCAGATTTGTTAATAATAAAGTCGGAAAGTTTTATTTAAACCGCACGTGTACGTTTCTTATTGATGTGATCATATGTCGTCATCATTCATCCCCAGGTGCCCGCTAATGGCAGGCAAACTCCCGGTAAGGTAATTCTTTCCGATGCCTGCCAACGCTCATCTGGTTGGCAGGTGGAAACAGGCTGGCAAAATGAGGGTGGGGGTGGTGATCTTTGATGCTGCACAATGATGTCACTTCGAGCGTGACCCAGAAGCACTGGCATCGCACTGGGGCAACACGTCAGCACTTGCCCCAAAACTCTATGGCTCCCCCCCCCCCAGTAAGTACCCCCACACACACTGCTTGCCAGGCCATCCATCCATCCATCCATCCATCCATCCATCCATCCATCCATCCATCCTTCCTTCCTATTCCTTTGTCTCTCTCTCTGGCCTGACTTATATGAAGAAGAAGAGGAGATTGGATTTATACCCCGCCCTTCACTACCCAAGGGAGTCTTAGAGCGGCTTGCAAACTCCTTTCCCTTCCCCTCCCCACAACAGACACCCTGTGAGGTGGGTGGGGCTGAGAGAGCTCTGACACAAACTGCTCTTTTTCAAGGAGAGCTGTGCCAGAGCTTGTTGTGACTGACCCAAGGTCACATCAGCAGGTGCAAGTGGAGGAGTGGGGAATCAAACCCGGTTCTCCCAGATTAGAGTCCGTGTCAATGTGTGACGATGTACTAAAACAACGTATCATATACCTAGGAATATTTAAAAATTATAACAAAATTCCGGTATGAATTCGAAAGCAAACGAATGGTGGCCGAAATCTCTGGTTGTGCTACCGCCGTGCGGGGGAGGGGAGAGTGCCAGCCAGATGGACGTTGTTGGCGTCCTCAACCAAACACCTGGTGGAATGTCTCTGTCTTACAGGCCCTGCGGAACTGCATCAAGTCACAGGGTTAGGGGTCAATGCTCCCTCTAAGCTGTGGAGTCTTGTGAGCAGAAATTCTACTTTGTGCGCTCCTGGCATTAAAGTTGTGAGCAAGCGATTTGGCTACTGCATAAGTTAGTTTGCTCTGGAGCCATCCTCCCTGAGCGAAGGCAAAAATGTGTGAGCCGGAGGCTAAAAAACTGTGAGCTAGCTCACACTAACTCAGCTTAGAGGGAACACTGGTTAGGGTGCTTAGGTCTTTTGTTGTTGTTCAGTCGCACAGTCGAGTCCGACTCTTCGCGACCCCATGGACAAGATCACGCCAGGCCCTCCTGTCTTCCGCCGTCTTCCGAAGCCCGCTCAATTTCATGTCTGTTGCATCCATGACACTGTCCAACCATCTCATCCTTTGCCGTCCCCGTCTTCTTTGACCTTCAAAGTCTTACTTTGTCTTACTTGCTTAGGTCTTACTCCTGCATTGTTTTCCAGTCCTAAAATAGCTTGGGGGTGGGACCTATTTGCCCAGCTGCGTATACTCCAGAAGTGTGGGGCAAAAATAGCACTCCCCAACAGAGCAAACTGCGGCAATAGGTTGTTGACACTATCCCTATCCCTCTCCCCCCCAAAAAAAAACCCACCCAGAAGCTGGGGTCAGGCACCGCAGAGCTGTTTGGCTGGGAAGGGAGGGAAACTTCACTTACCTCATCCTCAGGGCCTCCGGGCATGTTCCACGGTGGGGAGGGCAGGGCCAGGTGTGGAAAAGCAGGGCAGGCCTCACCCACCCATCTGCCTGAAGCAATGATTTTAATAACAGGGACAAGCAGCAAGGCTGAAAAACCAGGAACCCTCCGTTCCTCCTCCGCTTGTCCTTCTCAGGGAAGCTGACACTAAGCGAGAGGCAGAGGCACCAGAGTATTAACCACAGAACTCTTCACCAACTGCCGCAATGGGTCCCCTGCTATCTAACCGTTCGCTGAACCAAAACTGGGTCCGACTGACACACTGCAGCAAACACACGTTTCACCAGTGGGGGTGGATGGGTGGGATGGTAACTCAAGCTCCCCATTGCTTTCAACTGGAACGGCTGTACTCCTAAATCTGACAACTCAAAAGTTGTCATAGCAAAGTTTGGTAAAAATCTGAAGAACGGTGCTCTGAAATTGAGGGGAGTGTGTGAGCCCTCCAAATTGACAATATAATTGTCAGACACCCCCACCCCCGTCCAGTTATACTCAAAAACTCTTGCTTTGGCGGTGATTTGTTTATTGGAACATATGCAAGACCCAAAAGTCACCGTGTTAGAACTGAAGTTCTGGGAGTGTGTGAGCCCTCCAAATTGACAACATAATTGTCAGACACCACCACCACCCCCCGTCCAGTTATACTCAAAAACTCTTGCTTTGGCGGTGATTTGTTTATTGGAACATATGCAAGACCCAAAAGTCACCGTGTTAGAACTGAAGTTCTTTGGCGGGTAAAGGTAAAGGTTCCCTTGCTCGAAAGCCAGTCAAATCTGACTCTAGAGTTGCGGTGCTCATCTCCGTTTCAAAGCCGAAGAGCCAGCGCTGTCCGAAGACGTTTCCGTGGTCATGTGGCCGGCATGACTAAACACCGAGGCGCACGGAACGCTGTTACCTTCCCACCGAAGTGGTACCTATTTATCTACTTGCAATTTCTTGCTTTCGAACTGCTAGGTTGGCAGGAGCTGGAACTAGAGATGGGAGCTCACTCCGTCATGCGGCACCTGGGTCTTGAACTGCTGAACTACTAACTTTCCACAGCCTGCAGTTCAGCGTCTTAACCCCTTGAGCCACTGCAGCTCCTCTTTGGCGGGTATAGGCATATTAAAGGAAATCATATGGGTCCCCTCCAACCCCCAGGCATATGTCACATCCACACTTGCCTAATTGCCATGCCAACCAGGGGAGATAGATGTCCTGGCAATCTAGAGTCCGGAGATGGTACAAAAATGTACTCAAGGTCACTTCTCCTGGGAAAGCAAAAGGGGAGGAGAAGGGTATGTCTGGTGGAAAAGTTACATCTCCTAAATGCAAAGGTCGCACTCCCTCCCCCCCACACACACCCCACACGCAGGAAAAAAAATCCCCCAACCACTATGGCAACCGAAGCAAGCATAGCACAGCAAGGTTTGACAATAATGTAGCCAAAGATGTGTGTGTTAAGCAGGGCTTGTTTTGTAGAAAAAGCCTACCAGGAACTCATTAGCATAATAGGCCACACCCAACAGCAGAAATGCATTAGCATATTGGGCCACAACCCTGACAGATCAGCTCATTAGCATATTAGGCCACATCCCCATATTACCAGAAGTGTGGTCATCCAGCCACACCCACCTTTTGCTTCTTATTCTGCTTACCTTGTTTGTTGTCAAAACCCAGGGCTTTTTTTGTAGCAGGAACTCCTTTGCATGTTAGGCCACACACCCCTAATGTAGCCAATCCTAATGACTTCCTGCTGTTGGGTTTGGCCTATTATGCTAATGAGTTCCTGCTGGGTGTGGCCAACTTGGGAGCCAGCCGGAACTCCATTCCTGTGCGTTCCTGCCCAAAAATAGCCCTGGTGTTAAGTGCTGTCAAATGGCCTCTGACTCATGGCACCTCTATGAATCAATGTCCTCCGAAATGTCCTATTGTCAACAGCCTTGCTCGGGTCTTGCACACTGAGGACCGTGGCTTCCTTGATTGAATCACTCCATCTCATGTTGGGTCTTCCCCTTTCCTTGCTGCCCTCAGACTTTCCCTAGCATTATTGTCTTTTCCACTGAGTCTTGTCTTTTCCTAACATGACCAAAGTACGATAGCCTCAGCTTAGTCATTTTAGCTTCTAGGGAGAGTTCAGGCTTGATTTTATCTAGAACCCTACTTATTTGTCTTTTTAGCTGTCCATGGTATCCATAAAACTCTCCTCTAACTCCACATTTCAAATGAATCAACTTTCTGCCTGTCAGCTTTCTTCCACTGTCCAACCTTTCACGCAGGGACAAAGAGAACACATGCTAAATCTGACCAAGAACAACACAGAGTCCATTTGAAGGCCTGTGAGGTGGGGATGAGTAGCAAAGAAACAATTATTCTTTGCTACTATCAGGTCAGTAAGTGTTGAACCCAAGGTTTGAGCCCCAGATAGAGGGACCATGACTCAGAGGTAGAATGTCAGCGTTGCATGCAGCAATTAGGTCTCATGAACATGAATCTGCCTTATATTGAATCAGACCACTGGTTCATCAAAGTCAGTGATGTCTACTCGGTGACTCTCCAGGGTCCCAGGTAGAGGTTTTTCACATCATCTACTGCGAAATCCGTTGGCTGGAGATGCCAAGGATTGAACTGGAGACCTTCCAGATGCAAAGCAAATGCTTTGCCACTGAGCCACAGCTCCTCCTCTTGCTTGGACAGAATTCCCATGCTTAATCTTCATCATTTCCAAGCAAGAGGATCAGATAGTGGTTGATGAAAAAGACCCCTGCCTGAGACCATGGAGAGAGCTACCAGTCAAAGTAAACTTGGAGACACCAGTGGTCTCAGTATATGGCCACTTTATGCGATAGCTGCGTTATGTACGCCAACCATTGAATGAGATCGTCTGAAACTCTGGAGCTGGGTATCATCAATATGCTGATAACTCCCAGCTATCAATTTCTTTAAACGAGCTTCTAGAAGCTGCTGTTTTGGCCCAGCACTGTTATCTGGTAGTTATGGTCAAGTGGACTGAGGGAGAACAACTCAACACTGGGTCCAGGCAAGATGGAGGCGATGCTGGTTGGAAAGGCTGGTATAACAGTAGGGACTGGACTGCAGATTTTGGATCGGGGTGATCTTGGACAGAATCTGCTAAAAAACTGGGGATTTAGTTAGATCCTGTCCTTTCAGAAAATCCAGTGTCTACTGTTGTGAAAAGTGCTTTCCCCCCTCAATTATGTTTACCACAGAAGTTCTGTCCCTTCCTAGATGTGACTGATTAGCCACACTTATCCATGCTACGTTAACCTTAAGGCTGGATTATTGTAATGTGCTGTGTGTGGGGCTGTCCTTGAAGACATCTGTGACATTTCATCAAGTTTGAGATGTGGTGACTCTTTTAGAGTTATATCCAGGTAGTCAGCCATGTTGGTCTGAAGCTGTAGAACAAATTTAGACCGATTCCCCACAAGAAGCTGTGCCTCTGTCGCTCTTCTGTTTCCCCCGCTTGCATTGGTCAATTTCACACTATGTGCTGCATGGGCACATTTTGACCCACAGCTCCCTTGATTTTCCCAGCGTCTTCTCGAAACTTGTCTTTTGAGATCGAGAAGATGTGGGGAAAATCGGGGGGGAGCTGTGGGTCAAAATGCGGCCACGTGGCAAATAGTGTGAAATTGACCAATGCAAGCGGGGGAAATAGAAGAGCAACGGTGGCACAGCTGCTTGTGGGGAAGTCCAGTGGCACCTTTAAGACCAACAAAGGTTTATTCAAGGTATGAGCTTTCATGTGCATGCACACTTATACAATGGAATGGGAGGTAAGGTTCAAACTTATAGACGGACTGAACATTGACTGAATGTCAATGGGTGACCTCAAGGAAGCTGTTTTATTACAAAGGAACTTCAGGAACCTAATGGAAAGGGAAATTGCTGACTTACAAGTTATTGCCACACTTGGAACAAAAACCTCCCCAGGACTCAACAGGGATATTGGTTTCTTATCTCATTACATATGCTAACTCATTCAGTCCTCACATATGTATTCTCATACAGAGGGACTATACATCCTCTGTATCTTAGTGCATTTCCTTTTCAGAATAGTATATTAGAATACTGAATGTAATACAAGAAATATTGGAATGTTTGGCTGACATACACTGCTCCCACCTCGAAAAAGAAAGTAAAAATGCTGTTAAGTGACCTCCATGCTCTGAGAGTGAATGGAGAGTCTCAGACTTATTTTGGTATATTTATTGGTTTACAACTGTTGACCTTATAACCTTAGCTTGTTATTTAATTCTGGTTTTCCATATCTTAAAACATCTTCATCATGTTACATGTTAATTTGCTGTTCAGCCCGTTTATAAGTTTGAACTTTTTGGAGTTACATTATCTCCTGTCTTGAGATGGTTGTACAGGTGGCCTTCTGGTTTCTGAGTTCACTTCAAGGCACTGATTGTTACCTTTAAAGTCCTTCATGAATCACATACTTAAAGGACAGTCTGTCATGGCAGGAACCCATATGACAACAACATCTATACCAGTAGCTTCTTCTGGTCAGGCAAGTAAAATCTGCTGCAACCCAGCTTTGGTGGCCCTTTTCTTGTGGAACTGTGAAGTATGTGCCATCCTCCTAGGTCTAGTAAACTCTGTAAAACTGACCTGTTCAGGAGGTTGTTTGAGGTGGATAAAAATATTTGCAGGTTTTATTCTTCTGATGTGGTGTGGCTTTATTATTGAATTTGCAAGGTGTGTGTGTTATTGTACGGTGCTTTGGTTCCCACTTCAAGACAAAAAGTGGTTTTTAAGTATTTTAAATCACTACAGGAACAAACTTGGGCTAGATTATGGTACATATGTCTTGAAAAGCAAGTATGTCACATTGGACTGAGGCCAGAGTTCTTTATAAATTCAGGAAGAAGCATCAAGTAAAGTTTAAAATAGCTTTACTTTGCAGCAGATTTTGTGGTTGAGAACATTTCATAATTTTAAAAAAAAACCCAGAAACTAGCAGTGTCATGCTGAACAATCATTGGAAGCAAAAGTCAAATACAATGACACTGAGAAGAGACCAGGCATGTTAATATCTGAAAAAATGCAGACACAAATACATGTAGGGTTTAATTGCTCAGTATGGAGAAATGCCCCCCACCCTAGAATTCACCCCAGTAATTCAAGTATGCTTTGTTCATGATGGAACCCAGCTATAAACTTATCTCGCAGGAAGGAGGGACGGGGGGCTGAGCAATGAACAAAATACAGAAAACAATAAACATACAAAATATATTGTTCTATATTCTATTAAATGTTTTTGTGTCAGTTTTTCATTTTCTGTATTAACTTATGTATTTTGTTTATTGTGGTTTGTTTTTCTCAGCTTTTCTGATTACATAATTCATTTTGAGTTGAGAGTTTTCCCCTTTATGTTGCTTTTGAACTCTAAACCACTGCCACTTCAAATAATACTAGCCTCTCCCAATGAAATACCATGTAGAATAAGTATCAAGTACAGGTAAAGAGGACTCTGTGTTTTTACCTTTTCTTTGTACCCTTGTTCAGCCCGAATGCCTGAACAGACTGTGTGTATTCCTTTCATTCTCTTTGTTATACTTTGAATGTTTGAAGACTCATCTCTGGAAACACACCACGCCCGTTTGGTCTTGCTGTGTTAAGTGTGTTAATGGGGAGGGACAGCAGGTAAGCTTGCCATTCCTGGACCAGGACAGCTCGAAATAACAAAGTTGCAATGGCTTGCTCCTGCACTAGCTTGTAGGAGTGAAGCAGGAGGTATGGCAACCAGGTGGAGTCTATAGATGGCAACAGAGGTATGAAGAGCTAGACCTGCAAGAGAATCTCTCTGAGTCATTGATGGCTGTGTTACCCAGTTTGTTTTGGCAGCCCCAGGGAGTGAGCCTTGGGATCGTTGCAGGGTTTTCCAACCTCCCAGAGACCAACCTGAAGGAACAGGAGGGGCTTGCAAGTCCTTCCTTCACAGGAATGGTATAAGGTTAGCTGTGTGTCACAGTGTTCAGATTGGTTTGCATCTTGAAGAGCTTACAGAATCCCCCAAGGTAGGATACACAACTGTCAGTAGACTTTAGCATCCCTTATCAAAGAACAGAGTTGACTTTTGTCTTTCCCATGTAGTGATACCAAAAGGAGTGACATGAATCCTAATCTTGATACCTGGTTTAAATAGGTTTTCTCTCTGTTTCAGCCCTTAACTATGTGGTGTGTGAGGGATGGTAACTCACCGTGGTGCTTTCAGAGCCAGACTTTGGGGTGGAAGTACATGAACCTGACTCACAGGCTCAATAGGAGGGCCCTAAAAGCAGGCTGTAGGTAGCAAACTGAACTGAGCACAGAGGACTTATTTCTGAACAAAAATACATAGAATAAGGTTATGTCATTTTTGTTTCTCTTGGAAGATGGTGGGCTAGGATAAGACAAGTTTGCTGACTGGTCATACTCTGCTTCACATCTGAAGTGTGCATTACTGTCATGTGCCCTCCCCTCCCATAAGGCCATTAAGTCCAGAGTGCAAAATTTCCCAATTGCACCATACGATTGCAGGTCATCTTTATTCAAACCTGTTACTGGGTTTTTTTTCGCATGGGGTTTTTCCTGCAGTTTGAGCGCTGAACTGCAGTGGTTTCTCATTTCTTGTCTTTTCTCCATACATTTTCAAAACATCTTTGATCCAATTTGAAAACAGGCATGGAGAAACGATGAAGAAGCCATTGTGATACAACAAATGGAAAACAATGTTGTAAGGAAGCGTGGAGAAAAACCACTGAAGTTCCACAATGAAACCACAGGAAAACCTCCATCTGAAAAGTCTGTTTCTTTAGAAGATACATAGGATCAGCCTGCAGCTATGACATCTTTTCAGGATACACGGTTCTCCTCTCCTGTTTTTTCATCCTCACAATAACCCTTTGAGGTGCATTAGATTGACAGAGAGTGACTGGCCCAAGGTTCATGGCAGAGTGGGAATTTGAACCAGTCTTCCTGGCCATAGTCCAACATGCTAGATCCTGTGCGTGTTCAGTCAGAATAAAGTCTAGCATAATTCAGTGAGAATGCTCCCAGAAAGTGTACATGGGAAGTTGGCCTAAAGCACTATTAAAGGAGAATTTTATGTGTACAAATCTGCAGCCCCTTTCATATGCCACATGTGTCAAGAAACAGAAAACCACCTTTTTTTTGTAACTGCAGAGTATTAACTAAGCCTTTAATATTAGGAACATAGAAGGTAAACCACCAGTTCTTACAGAGCAATCAATATTCTGGTGGTTAAAAGAACACAGGAGATTTCTTCAAACAATCTGCATCTTCCTGAAGGGAGAGAGAGTCATCTGTTTGTCAGGTACTCAGAAACATTTCCTGTAGATGTAAAAAGGACCCCGTTCCTCATATTCTTTTCTGTGAACCCAGAGCTGCTGGAAGGCCTTGAGGGACGCTAGTATGGAGCCTCCCGTCCATACGGATGTTTTTCTTTCAGGGGAGGCTATCATCACGGGTTTATCATTCGTGGATATCTTACTCAGTTCTTTCTGAAAGCGGTCAGCGAAGCCTTTCATTGTGGTACAGCCCCCGCACAACAAGATGTTGTTCATCAGGTTCTTCTTGAGGGTGGCATCACACTTGTTGAGGCTCATCATGGTCAGGAGAGGAAGGCCCAGCTGCTGCGAGTTTATCAAGGATGGCTTGAAGAGCATTTCGGAACACATGAACCTCTCTCTGCCGATACGGATCACTTGCCCGTCAGGAAGCTCGTATTCGATCTCGTGTTTCCCAAGAGGTGCGTTGGAGTCCTGCTGCAAGTCCAGTGAAGTGAAGCAGTAGTTCTCTTTGATGTCTTCTAGGGTCTTCCAGTCTTTCTCTGAGAACAGTTTCACAGACTCGTTTAATAATTTCATGAGGTATTGGGTGACATCAGACCCGGCATAGTCTACCCTTTCTGTAATGCTTGGCAAAGTGTAGCCTTCATAGATGGGAACGACGTAAGAAACCCCATGGCCGCTTTCCACAACAAGGCCCGATGTCTTCCCGTAGGAATACATTGACAGTCTAGACTGATAGGCAATGTGCATGGCAGGGGTGCAGAACGTCTCAAAGAGCATCTCTGCATATTTCTCTCTGTTGGTGGTGGGACTCAAGGGAGGATCCGACACCAGGACAGCGTGTTCCTCAGGCCGAATCTTCATCTCCTTGTGGAATATATACTCCCATATGTCCTGGATGGTGTCCCAGTCCACTATGATTCCATGTCTCAGAGGGTTGAGAAGCTTCAGGGGTATTCTGGCATCCTGAAGTTCTTTGCCAACAAAAGTTTCTTTCCTGTTGTCTCCTGTTTTCGCAGTTTCCTGGAAGTGCTTACCCACGGTCGATGAGATCACATGGGCTGGCTTCTGCTCCCCAGCAAACCCACACTTGCAGGACCCAGTCCCGATATCGATGACGACAGCTCTGGTCTCCTTCACTATCATCCTTCGCGGCGCCTCTCCCTCTTCCTTGGGCTTGGCGCTGGGCTTACCTACTGGCCCTTTCTTTACTGGCATAGAACTAGAACTGGCACTCCCTCTGCTCGACATTTTCTTCCCCAGTCCTCATTGATTCTCATTCTCTCTGGTTGCCACGTCACATGGTAAGAATGCACACAGCGGTTTTAAAACCTTGATGACGTAGGCATTGTGCATTATGACATCACAACATGCTTGCTTGTAAACTGGAAGAGGAAAAAGCCATAGAGCACAAATCCGTAGAAAGAGGCATTGGGGTTAGCCACAGGAGATCACGGCTACCTGTGCTCAATTCACTTAGTCTTTTAAAAAAATGTTGGGTATTTCTTGATGCATCCTAAATAGTCTTAAAAAAACAAAACAATTAAATATCTGGTAGCTTAGTGATTACTTTTTTTGGTCTGTTTTTGATACTTCTGGAATATTTTCAGGCATATCACTGTGGAAATCTGTGCTCTCAGCCTATCCACTTGGTCTCTTTCAGGAATGAGGAAATGTAAGCACAAGGTTTCATTTGCACATGATAATATTTATTTATTAGTTCAATTTATACTCTCTTTCAGGAATGAGGAAATGTAAACACAAGGTTTCATTTGCACGATAATATTTATTTATTAGTTTAATTTATACCTCCCCGCCAAGGCGGGCTCAGGGCGGCTTCCATAAAATGCATATATAAATACAGTTAAAAACATCCATAAAACATCCATAGACGGTCAATTATCCATTTTCCTACAGTGCTGGAAGCAATTAAAGTGCAAGAGCAGAGATTCCTAGCTTAGACTATACTACTACTTAGGTGATAGTCCTGATGGTATTCTCACATCGGCTTGGTTTGACCGACTGATTTCTGCGGTGAGACAGGCTGAAGATGGTAAAGCCAGGGCAGAGGGCCACCCCTTGGTGTTTAGGTGGCTCCTAATCGAAAGCCGGGTGGAAGAGCTCTGTCTTACAGGCCCTGCAGAACTGTAAAAGGTCCCGCAGGGGCCTGATCTCCTCCGGGAGCTCATTCCACCAGTACGGAGCCACCACTGAGAAGGGCCTGGCCCTGGTTATCGTCAGCCTGACATCTTTGGGGCCTGGGAGGGCCAGCTGGTTTTGGGCCCCTACTTGGGCCTATTAAAGGCCTATTTAGTGGATAGCACCGTCAAGTCACAGCCGAATTATGGTGACCTCGTAGCGTTTTCAAGGCAAGAGACAAACAGGTGGTTTGCCACTGTGCGCCTCTGCATAACAACCCTGGACGTCCATGGTGCTCACCCATCAAAGCCTGTGAATGCAAGAACTGGAGAAGAAGAAAAGGCTGCAAGATCATGGAAGATGAGAGGAAGATGGAAGAAGGAGGAATGATGCAGGACCAGAAGGACCAGTGGAACCTGGAGGTCCTGCACCAGAAAGTGGAGCTGGGAAGAGGAATAAAAGTGACACTGATGGTGACGGCCACAGGAATAAACAGCTTCAAAGGGGTATTAGACAGATTCATGGAGGACACAGGTCTATCAGTGGCTATCAAGTGACTAAGCCTCTTAATCCCAGAGCAAGGAGGCAACATTGGGTGAAGGCCAATCCAGAGGGACTGGCTGGCCACTGTGTGAGACAGGATGTTGGACTAGATGGACCATTGGTCTGATCCAGCAGGGCTCTCCGTATGTTCCTGTGATGGCCTCAGCCTCTAGGCCCTGTTGTTGGCCCTCCAGAGGAACTGGCTGGCCACTGTGTACAACAGGATGCTGGACTAGATGGACCACTGGTCTGATCCAGCAGGGCTCTTATGTTCTTATGACAAACCAGTACCAAACTTATTAATGCTTATGAGGCAGAGGCAGCCTACAAACCAAAGAAACTGAAGGCAAAAGGAGTGACTGTTATTTATAAATTTAGCTAACAATGCATAGGAATAGCTCCTGTATTAAAAACTAATGGTGGGACTTCCTTTGATGACCGGTTGGAAGTTTCAGAAAAGTATAATGCAGTCGCTCCCCTCTGGACACGGGGAATATGCCAAAAGGACATTACGTTAGGGCTCCAGTCTCTTCTCTGGTTTACCATTAATTTTCAGATACAATTCAAGCTATTGTTCTGGGCGTATAAAAGCTTCCATGCTTGCATTCATCCTGTGTTCCTGTCCCGTCCCATCCTCTTCTCCCTCTATTGTATCTCTCCCTTCCTCTACACTGTATTTAGGTGATAACTTACTCAGGGGGCAGGGATCTGGCTTTGCTTATTTATGGGTTTCTGTAGAGCACCAACACATGAGAAAAAGCACCACCATCATCATCATCACTACCAGGGGTCATTTTGTAGAAAGAGAGGTGCAGGAGCTCATTAGCATAACTCATTTGCATATGCTACACCCCCTGACATCACCAGAAGTGTGTCAGAAGGCAACACCCACCGCTCAGGCTCCACTGGACTCTTGGATTGCTAGCTATTGGGGGGGGGACAATGTGCAGATCTGTCCTTGTAGAGGAGGGAGAGCTTGTACCTGAATAAACCTTGGCCTTAAAGGTGCCACTGGACTGTTTTGGATTGCTATGGGGGGGAGGGGCTCTGCAACTTACCTGGCTGCTTCTTGCTCCTTGTGGCCCAGGGCTGCTGGGAGCAGGGGGCGGGGCTTGTTGCATGTGCCTGCCCCCTGGGCTCTTTACTGCCGGAGCTCTTTACTCAATAATAAAAACGGTCTGGGTCTTTCATATCTTAGATACCAAATTCTTCATTTTCTTCCATTTTCAGCTTTAAGGTCAACCAAGATGCCTTCTTGGCCATATCATCCGTACAGGAAGTTTGAACACAGAGGTTACGCTGTGTAAGTGCCCCAACAACTGTACAATTCCCTTGTTTGAGAAGCTTGTTGAACTTGTGTATGTCCTCAAAGGGATTTCCCTGTTTGACTTTTTTTAACAGTTGGGAGGCATTCGGGTGGCACGAAGAAATTTAATGTCTAAACGACTGGGTCTCCTGTGAATGTGTTTGTTTAAACTGTGTTGACTCCCACAGACATTAGGAAGGAGCAATTTTAAGAAATAAATACACCTGCGCAGAAAATGTTAACCACGGCTGCTTCTGCATGGATGTTGCTTCCAAACTGGAACCCTTTTGTTGAGCATTCGCGTGACACCCTACGATGGTCCACTTTCCAGGTGTTCTCTTGCTTTGCTATGATCTCTTTTGAAAGAAAGAGGCAGATTGGCCGTTTACTTTACTTGGGTGGGAAAGGCAGTCCTGGTGGGCAATGTTCCCTCTAAGCTGTGGAGTCTTGTGAGCAAAAATTCAACTTTGTGAGCTACTGGCATTAAAACTGTGAGCAGGCGGTCTGGCTGCTGCATAAATCAGTTTGCTCTGGAGCCCTCCCTTCCTGAGCGAAGACAAAAATGTGTGAGCCGGAGGCTAAAAAATTGTGAGCTAGCTCACACTAACTCAGCTTAGAGGGAACACTGCTGGTGGGTATCTGCCCTGGAGGGCCCCCTGCCCACAGTCCTTGCCTGTCGCCCTGGGTAGGGCTCGTGAAGAAGAAAAAGGGTTAGTTTTTATATCCACTTTTCTCTACCCCAATGAGTCTCAAAGCAGCTCATAATCACCTTCCTTTCCTCCCCCCACAACAGTCACCTTGTGAGGTAGGTGAGGCAGAGAGAGCTCTGAGAGAGCTGTGACTGGCCCAGAGTCACCCAGTAGCTGCATGCAGAGGAGTGGGGAATAAAACCCGTTCTCCAGATTACAGTCGGCTCCTCTTAACCACTGCACCACGCTGGCTCTCAGCAGACTCAGGCTTTGCCCTGCCAGTCCGTGCATGATGCGGCCTGTGAGGAGGAGCAAGGCGGCACGTCCTTTCCCTCCAAGAAGGTTCTTCAGCCCTTCATCAGGAGAAGTGGGACAGTGGTAAGAGAGGTGTGGCCCTTTTCCAGGGCCATTTTGGCCTCCCAGTCCACCCCTACCTGGCAGCTTTCTGCACCCGTTTCTGAAGGATTTTCAAGAATCTCATCTGTTAGAACCTGGCTTTTCACTTCAGAAATATGACACGGCACTAGGCTTTTTGACTGACCCGTTCCCTGACATAGTAATTCCGAGCTGGGTGCCACTGCCTTCCTCATCTTCTTATCATCACGAGGTGACGATAATTTTCCAGGCCCCACACAGAGGCCTGAGGGACTTCCTCCCGCCTCTCTCAGCTCCTGACCACCCCCATCCTCCCTAGATTATTTATGATTTAAGAACAGCTGTAAGCAGTGCTCCCTCTAAGCTGCGGAGTCCTGTGAGCAAAAATTCTACTTTGTGAGCTACTGGCATTAAAGTCGTGAGCGAGCGATTTGGCTGCTGCATAAATTAGCTTGCTCTGGAGCCATCCTCCCTGAGCGAAGACAAAAAAATGTGTGAGCCAGAGGCTAAAAAACTGTGAGCCAGCTCACACTAACTTGGCTTAGAGGGAACACTGGCTGTAAGTCTAGAGTTGCCAGCTCTGGGCTGGGAAAGACCTGGAGATTGGGGGGGTGGAGCCTGAGGAGGGCGGGGCTTGGGGAGGGGCTTCAGTGGGGAATAATACCATAGACTCCACCTTCCAAGGCAGCCTTTTTCTCCAGGTGAACTGATCGGTTGTAATCCCACGAGATCTCCAGCCACCACCTGGAGGTTGGCAACCCTAATTTAAGTTTGTGGTTTGTTTGTTTGTTTTTTTGAGGGCACAGCCCCAGGCAGGCCAAGGGTTGGGCTTTTTTTGAGGGCACAGCCCCAGGCAGGCCCAGCCTGTTTTCAAGTACCATGGAGCATTTGTGCAGAGGTGTGTGTGAAGGAAACAAGTCAAAGCAGCAAAGACTGCTCTTCTGATTTAATGACGGGTAGAGACGGCAGAGATAGTCAGACACCTCTGGTAAAAGGGTTCAGCGCGCAATTGGTTCTGCTAGCTTTTTGATCCGATCTGTACAGTACGCCTTCTTAGCAGTCTCCTTCACTGTAAAGGCGTCTGGGTTGAACTGTACAAAGTTGGTGGAGGCCCTGCGAAAGCAAAGGGGAAAAGTAGAACAGCTCACAGTCTAAATGCTGTCTCATAGGAGCGTAGGTATGTCTGTACTGCACTTTAG